CAGTTACGAAAGTGATCACCGGCTAAAGTAACAAAAATAATAATTAGTATTTTGGCCATGACTTGCGGCGCGTACACACTGGGCTATCGGGCACGCGTCAATACTGACTGACGTCTTTACCCATCGTCACCACATCACATCAAAACAAACCTTTTACCGCTCCACAAACTTTATCAAACTATTTTAAACTCTAAGCATATACCTATAAAGTTCATTTAAAGTGGTAGAAATGAACTCACCCATTGGTTTTCGGTGTTACTCTGTCTTTGAAAGCAGTCTAATTAAGTTTTTTAGGACTATTGAAATTCGTTATTGATTGACAGATGGCGCTAGCGGCTATTTAAAATGAATGCATCGCTTTAGATGTTATTATTAAGTATTGTTTAGTAGATATGTGGTTTAAGAGTCAGAACATCTCAGTTATTAGTTTTAAGGAATATTGTAATAATTTTTCGTGTTGTGTGGCCCAAATATGTTCTGACAAAAATCATTAGTTACCGGAATAAGTACAAGCAACAGAAACATTAAATGGTACCTACCTACAAAACACAGTAGGAAATTAAATTAAAATAGTAATTAGTTCTGTTAGGTACGAAGTCCCACAAAATCTAAGAATGAATCTGATAAATCGCCAAAAACAATGATGGCAAATCAATTCCCTCAGCAAGAGTATATACCTAAGTATGTATGAAAGAGATATTTCGACATTATATGTACCTTCTTCACACGAGACATCCTTAGTAAACGATTCAATTTAAACAAGCCGCTAATGGCATGAAAAATATATAATATAGCTAATGAAGATGTATTTGAAAATATATGGATTTTAAGCGGGTATCTAATCTATTAAAGTAATTCGCTCACACGGCACGCGTGATGCCGAACGGCACCCGGTGCGATACCGGCTATACAGTGAGCCGTGCCGCACCGCCAACACCGGGAATCATAAAGAATCCGTCATCACGAGCGCAACAGCGATCACGAAATCCGCCATCAATCATAAACATCAGAAAGGATTAAAATCTACGTTGCACCTTCCGAAGCTCGAGTACCCTTGTTTTTCTCTAACCCGTAAATACGGAGGGGCGTAAGTACAGCCGGGGGGCGGTAAATATTATCAAGGGGGACAGGGGGACAACCCCCGCGGTTGGAGGGGGCACTATCCCTTATCGCGAACGTTACCCTCGCTGCCGGCGGCCGCTAGACCGCCAAAATATGGGGCAAATCGATTTCTCTGTCCCATTTTTGTGCATCTGGACCGCTATCGATTTTGTACTCTAGCTTTCAACAATCGATATTCTGAACGTCAACATGACTTTATACGTAAACAGTACAGGCGTTCAGATTTTAAATAGCAAAATGATATAAAGGTCGTAAAATTAGAGACAAAGGTATTTTTAGTGCAGTGACGATAATTATATTAAATGTGCTGGACGTCGTAATTAAATAGTTTTATATTGGCTGTAAATTTACTTGTGATACACCGAGCGGCTAGATGACTACGATCACTATCATACTACTTTGTTGTCCGGCCATGAACTCAACATACCTACGTTAAACACACTTAAATGTGTAGGTACATTAATGACAGTATTTCCCATATTCTTGCAGGAAATTTAATGGCTACAATATATTTAACTTTAATATACTTTAAATCTATTAATGCCCTCTGTAATTTCAATTATATTTTTTTTTGCAGTTTCAGTCATAAACTTATATATGGTACATATAACTATAGGTATACCGGACTAATCTAGCATAATTGAGTACATCATTTTCCACAAATAGAAATAACTTTGTTTATAATTCTGAAAGATCTTTAAGAGCAATTCCATTACAATACTAACTGTACCCAAAATGACAGTAATAAATTCAATACAAAATATAATACACCTACTGTGTATACTTCGATCTTTTATATATACTACCTGTAATTTCTTTCTGACGTTTTCAGACAAATATAATGTCCTAGAAGAGAAGAGTGAATACCTAACATCTTCATCATCGCTTACCATTTCCATTAAGTACGGTAGAAGACAAAGGCCTATACTATTTATCATTAAAAATACTTAAATAAACAGGTCTAGCATAAAAATAAATTAACTTTGTAAAGAATACTACTTACTGCATCTATGTTTATAAATCTCAAATCTGTAAATAGTTTAGACTATTCTTTAAATTACTTAGCTGAGGCTTGTAATTGGAATTTGTTTTATGTTATAATGAGAATACTAATAATAAATATGAAATCCAAATCATAAGGTATAAGCCACATCTCGCGTCCCTACTTTGTGTAGTATAATAAAAGTCTCTGAGCGCATAACTTGCGTTACAATGTTAAATTTATTAACGCGTGATTTGATTAAAAATAAACAACAGGTAGGTAGTAAAATGCAATTTACTATATCTTAACTGGCAACCTCCAACGCATTCGATAGTCTACTAAGTTTTTTATCGATACTCCTTTTAAATTGTTGCGAATGTTTTATAAGTTTTATTACAAATCGTATATCAGCGTTTAACGAGCGTATGTGGCGGACTTAAGTAGCCCTTATCACATTTTGTTTCTTTGTTACAGACTTTCCTGTAGGTGTGCTTGCAAACTTTACCCTATGAACTATTCAAGCACACGGGTTTATAAATATTACAAATATTATCCATTTACTATTTATACAGTAGTTTTTGTGTTTTCTACTAATTTGGTAAGTACTTTTACGATTGCAATATAAAAAAAAGGTGTGACAAAAATTTTGTAAGCTTTATTTAGATAATCTTAAAATTCAGCATATTAATAATGAGCATTACGCATTTTAAGCAAGACGTGTTAATTATAATTATAAAATATTTTGACTACATTTTATATTTCTTACAAAATATTTCAATGAGTTTTTCAATTCGGTATATTTATACTTAGACTTTATATTTAGACCTAAAACCAACGCCTTACGTATATAAGGACCAATTATTTTAATGTGACATAAGTTATTCAAAACTAGTCCCGCAGTTTTTCCCGCATTTAAGTCACTGTATTACTACTAAGAGTCATTGCTTGATGTTTTATCCTATATATATTATTCCTCAATATATACTCTACCAATACAAAGAACCGTTTAAATCGGACTTGATAGTTTCAGAGACTATCGTTTTAAAACAAGCAAACACATAAAAATGTCTGCAGCTTTAATACGTAAGTATAGAAGGATTCATAAATCAGACGAAAACGCAACGAGTCTTCTTGAGAAAGAATCCAACGATACCTTCAAGAACTCAACCTAATAATATTCAAAGACAACAATTAGGTACACAAGCTATTAAATTGATATGGTATCATGAGACAAGTAAGCAAAACCGTGCTTTACTTTATTTTGAGATGAACTTCGGTGTAATGGCTCTATTTTATCATCATCATCATCTGCCTATTGCCGTCCACTTCTGAACGAAGGCCTCCCCCAACCATCATTTTATCAAGCTAACGTAAAAGTATTTGAAATAAGTTGTATTTGTTTTAAATACATTTTACCTACATGTTATAGAACCAGTTGTCTAAAACAATAGTTTTTAAAGGACAATTTAAGCATGGCTCGGGAACAGTGACCGTATTCTAGATAAATTTATCTGTACCCCTTTCAACTTGTATACAAAAAATTACAGACCAAACTAAAGAATTTCATTTCTGATGATGAATAACAGATGTAAAAAATAGGTCAAGGTATTTTCTTATTTTATTATTATTTATCTAAAGTAATAATAAAACTGATTTTTTTTTATGTGTTAAACCAATCTCTTAATTCATATTTGAATAGTTTTCTTAAGTATTTCTTCCTATACATCAGGCTGCAATAAGGAGCGTAGCGATCGTAATCGATTCAAAGTTCCAAGACCAGTTAGTTAATTTTAAAACAAAATATCTTAACCAAATATGTACATAATTAACTAAATCGCTTGTAAATTTAGTAAGATATATGAGTGGGTAACGTAAATATCTTACTATTTCATTGTATAAGACTAAACAATAAGTCAGAGACAAGTTATAATTTAGCTAGAGTTATTAGCCTACACGTCTCACAACGGCGCTGATCGTGCGAGTGCGCAAAAACGTCACCCGTTACGTTTCCGCCTGCCATTGTCTCAATGCTAATCTATATTGGTATAATTTTTTCAATGATATATTATAGGGTTGACAAAATACTATCAGAGCAGATAGACACGGAATATGTTAATCAGTAAGGTACAACTTCTAAAATACATCAGTCCTGTTCTACCGACGACTTAAGTAGCGACTTAAGTACCTAAAGTAAAAAAAAAGGATTATAGGAATTATTTTCTACCATTTTTCGTTTTTTTCATTTTTTGTTTTACTTTATTTCCAAATTATATACAATATAAGTATAACACAAAGAAGCTGAACCTTACCTAAGTTTACCTTATTTTTTATACATTTATCCTTTAACTTATAACCTTATTTATTTAAAAGTATTAATACTAACATTACAATTTTGAAAGTCAACCTCTTTGAATGCAAATAGACAGATAGAGATACTTTTCCTTTAGACCTACTTCCGTAACGTATTCCTATCGCACAAGTAGAGCAACGTTCATTAGTTTCCACCATTTTCTCGCGGCATTTGTATTTCTGTAACAGTTCATCTCATGATGTACGGCAACGACTCCTTATTCTATCTATAATTAAACATGATTAGAGCTCAACACATGGTGAGCTGCAATTATGAGAAGTTACAACGGCTACCGGCGCACTACTCGACACGCCATGCAAGAGCTTCCATCTACCATTCAATATCCACCTAACACGGAAGCGACTTTTAATTATACTAACTGATTATTACATAATCTCTTCTTGTTCACCGATTTTATTACGTTAATTGACCATCACAACTTTTTAGCACTGACATTGAGTGCCATAATTTAAACAAAATGATCGTAAATACTCGATCGATAGATAAATGTACGCGTAAGAACATACAAAATAACACGTCCTGATGTCACCCCACCGCTTCCCTGAATGAAGTGGAATTGGAGACCAACGGGAAGAAAACACACATTCCGAATTCATTCAAATCTACAGTCATGAATGAATCAAATGCGATAGAGACAAACATATAGGACGCCGCAAAGAGCGAGTGAGACGAGATTTCAATAGTACGCGAAACGGAAATAGAGAGGCCGAGATAATTCTGTCTAGCCAGGAGGGATTCCCTCGTGTCATTTGTGTGCGTTCGTTTTTCGAATTGTACGTGAGGATTCGAGTGTTGGCGTGCGTTCCGAGCGTGCACTCCGCTAACAGTCGGAGGGTCCTTTATCGGTGTTCGTTTCAATTCGGAGGCATTCGCATTCATTCTTTGCTTTCCGTCTGCGGCCCGAGGTTCCCCAGCTACTTGTTGATCATTCGTAATAAATTGCCTCCATGATATGCCCATTGTGGAACAGTTTGTCGCTTTACTGCCTCCAAGGAAATTGTGTTTCCTTGAGTTTATTTGTCATTTGATTGTGATTGTTATTTGAATGAGTGTTTTATGTTTAAATGTTTTGTTTATTGTTTTATATTGAACGTAGTTCAAATCTGAATACATATGTGATTATAAGTAGGATGAAAGAGAGGTAGCTCTAATTAGTTATTCACTTTAATCGTAATTAATATCTTGTTGTATATTAACGCATAACAAGATTACTCTAGAACATTTTTTTAGTACTGGCTTGACATTCAAACACACCGTCGGATCGTTGCTAAACTGTTATCAAGGTCACCAAAAACCAGTAGAGTCACTTATCCGATGTAAACTCTTCCCATCATCTTTCTATGGAAATATAAGGACCGTATCCACTAACAGAAAAAATCGAACGGCTGTAATCGTATTAGAAGACAGCTGCAGAAAAAAATCCCAAATTATTTTGCCGCCATAAACCCATAACTAAATTACTTGGAAGATGACACTAACTACTAAATTACTACGAACTTAAGTATCTTATGTATAAATAACCATTACCAATTCTCAAGATAAGTTTAGCTAGACGTTGCAGTATATTTGTATGTATTTATCCACAATAAAGTTACAAAATTATGGCATATAAAATTATATTCTGTGAAAAGGCGACACTAAACATTTTCCAATGGGCAGTTTCTTTAACATAACCATACCCGGCGAAAGATTAGTGGTTATTTAACTATACAAGTAATATCTCACATAATGAATTCCCTACACCAACATAGTTTGTAAGTACACAAGTAATATTTATTCGTATTCCTATTTATATCTATCTTCATACTCGTATAATAGTTAGGTATAACATTTTAATATTTCCTTGCTGCCTACTAACGCAAAACTATGCTAAACATTCATTTTTAATGATTAATAACTGTAACTATTTGTAAATGAAGTAACAAAGTATCCGCCTAAGTATCACATAATTTTAGAGTCTAAACAAGAGACGATTTCAAATAATTTTAATAATTTTATGAAATAAACATATTTTGAGTTTGAGTTATTTTAGTAAGTAATTTTTAAGCACACATTGAATAGCCATGAGACCGACATGAATTTGGAAACGCAATTGGTACCCGTAGAACAGGCCTAGCCTAGTGTGGGACCACCGGCAATGTCTTATATCTTTACTTTAATTTAATAATAAACTTATAAACATTATTGAACAGTTTCACAGTAGTTCACTATTCAACTTTTGAAATCTTAAATAGAACGAGCAATTTGACTACTATTAATATTGAAATTCAAAGCCTATCTTTATAAATCTCCATTATCGTGTTAGTAATCCAGTAATCTACAGAACGGCTTACTGTTTAGGTTTACTTTTTTAATACCTACCGCATGTGTGCCATCTACATACGGTATGTAAAAGTAAGCCGTTTTAAATAGTAAAATTTCCATATTATAATATTTCACATAAAATTATGTCAGTCTACCACAATATCAGGTTTATGAATAGTTCTAACATTTCTTACAAAACTTATTAAAACTTACCTTTATTTAAGTGCAAATATAAATACAATAATAGTACATAGATATCGTGGACAATCTCCAATGTTCTATTCTCTATTATAATGCAAAGCAATGATTCATACTTATTTAAAAAAGAAAACACTGTTACATAGATTATATTTTATTACAATATTTCTGACAACCAAAATAGCTATTACACTGACAGTTACTGACAGATATATTCACTCACGAAATAGTTTCGATACTATGCCAAAAGTATCAAATCCAATGATAACACATTGTTTTTTTAATCACTCTCAATAATTTGCATTTAAAGGTTTGATTTCGGTATGGATATTATGAAAAAGTAAATACTTTTTATTTTAAATATTTAATACTTTTATCTGGTAATACAATAAGTAATAAAATTAATTTATTGCATGATTTAATTTCCCGTTAATTAAATTATTGTATTTATTATCATTATTGTCATGATACCTTTGTAAAATAAAGTCATATTATTATGAATTTTTATGCTATAATTTAAATGCGATTTAAATAATTTAGTTTTAATGTTATAGCATAGGTATATTTCATCTAAGGAATTTCAAATCCCTTTCATGTTATTTTAACTAGAAAAAGGAAAAACTTAATAGAAGTTTATACCACAAATTTCATAGTGACAATCAAGGCTACATAAAATATAAATTATAATACCACATTCCCAAACCGTGGTGGTTTCCAATCCACGGTGTAACTAATTAATTTGGCAACATGCGCGTCTCAGACACTGCATTGCAGTGTCTTGGTTTAATATTTCAATGAGAATCAGTGCTTGGACCAACGCCAGTCGGAGTTCGGACACAACATTCATGATAATAATGTTCCTATTCAACATCTAGGTACACACGCTACGAACGGTCCGACCAAACAAATTATGAACGTCCGTTTTCCGTCGAAATATACAAAATAGTCAAAATATTAGTAATTTCACGGCTGTTATTCTTGTTTGCTCAACACAAAACACTGTCTAGTCTAGTTTCAATATGCTATAAATATAATCGCGTTATAATAAAACCATCCCGCGGAACATTCGAGATTCATCCGTCAGCTACAAAACGGCCGTCGCTTTTTAGTAGCCGCCTAATTAATGAACATAAATACAACTTAAACAATACAAACGAGTGCCTTTATCTTTTTCATAACTAGTAAATATACATCTATAAGTTTTAAAGCTAGTAACAAACGCTTCGGAAGTTCTCCAACGCACCTACCGGCTCTACAAAGGTATTGAGATAGTTATTTCAGTGCTTTGTTTATTTACAAAATATCACTCCGTTTGAAGGCGGACCATCAAAATGAGTCGTAAAGTTGAAAATTCCATAAAAAGTCGTGTTGATGACCTCCGTAATTGAAACTTGCTCTTTGTAGCAGAGACAATGGCCGGAACTTTGTGTTTCGAATCTATTGATTATAGAAAAACGGCTGTTATTTTAACAGTGTCAATTGAATTACCCAGGTGATTGATCGAATTATGGTAATTATTTAATAGTAAAAAACATACCAAACTGCAGTTATTAATTTGTCAATATTGTTACCAACAACAAAAAAATATTTAAAAAAACAACGTTAATTTATTTAAAATTAATTATTATAATATAGGAATTATGTAACATATAGTTTCTTAGTTCTGAAATCAAATTTAAACTAAAATAATGTCGAGAGTATTTCGCATTATTATTATAGTAAACATATATATTTTAAAGGGCATTACAAAGCGTATATTAAATTATATAAAAGTGTTTGAAAAGTAATGTCAGGAACACCCTGGTTCTTGAGTAATCCGATACGCACCCGTTTATCTGCCGTCAAGCAATTATTGAAGCGTGAAAAGGAACGTCCTCCTATTATTTACATTGCGTTTTGTAATGCGGGTATTCCGTTTTTTATTTTAAAAAATATCGCATTTCAAACTGCATATAGTGACACACATTACGTTTGTTTAAATTAAAGATTCTATTAAATTTCGATTGCTTTCGTTACCAAAGTCGTTTTTAGGTAAGTTTTAGTTATATAAATATTAAGTAACTGGATAGGTATATCTAGATGTTGTTAAAACAACGGTACGAAATAAATAGTTTCAGTTTATTTTTAGTCAGCCGTTAATTATCACAACGTTCTGCTTAATTTACCTATAAAGTCACCTCAATACCGAATAATAAACTATTCTTAAGTAATTAAAATACTCCCGATTAAATTAGGCCGAACACTTTTTATTAAATTACTTTTCATACAAAAAAAAACGTTTTAAATCAGTCTATCCGTTTTGAAGTTAAGATACCTACCCATGAACACATAGATACACATAGATATACCTACATATACATACGTAAAAACTTTTAAACAGCCTTTTTTGTTTAGGGGGGTTAAAACAAGGGCAAACCAAAGGCCGAAGTTCTTTAAATTTGAAAACACATATTTGAATATCGAAAACATTAATATTATAACTTACATTTTATCATCGACTGTACTAAGCCGAATGGAATTATTGAGTGTTATTTTTTACTTTTCAAAAGGCACAGAAGTAAAAAATATATTTATGTTGGAAACAAGATTTCTTTGTAGCGTGCATTAGTAAAATCGTAATGGTGGAAACGTGTCAATACAAATTAGTATGATTGAACGACCGCCGACGAATGGTCGAGTTTTTTTTTACTTCGTATTCTTGTTATTTCTTTTATTCATTTATATTCGGAACACAACCAGCGTTTTAAATTAACGCTTTCACTAAACTTGAATGTGCAACTGCTTTCTAAATTCTAGTTAGATATTTGTATATTGGTGACAATACATTTGTTACTGATTAATAAGCAAAAACTACTTACTAGTTAAAATATCAGTTCTACCAATTCTCTACTCCTTTATTTAGTAGATACCTAGTACACAATTTTTTATCAATATTTTTATATCAAGGTTTCTTTAAACCCTAAATAAAGAATTAGATCCCGATAAGTAATAAGTCAAAATGACTGAAAACCACCGATGACATCATCAGTCACACGAATTAAGTAGACTATGGACTCGTAATGATTTCATGATGTCAAATAAAAAGTGAGTCAGACGCCCGAGGCGGATCACAGCAGAACATTTCCGCTTAGCCATAAATAAACAAACATTAAATATTACAGAACACAAAGCGTCAATACGAGCGAAAAATTAAAGTTTACACCTCCCAGATGCACACTTCCCGCTCACATTACATTTTTAAAAACACATTCGGGGCAGCAAGGGAAACGCCGATATAGGCCTACGCGGACACCGCGCCCGTAACGCGCAACCACAACAAAACAAGATTTTTTAATCTAACTTTACCGTTTGTAAAAATTACTATTTAAATATTAAAGCCGCAGCCGCTAATTAACTGAGATTTAACCCTTCCGTCGCCGGCCAAAGCTCGTTTTAATATTTAATCCCGTGGAAATATTTTGCGCGTATTAAAATGTGAAAAATTAATGGAATGCTCGTCGCGCCCCATGAACCGCTAGATGCAACCTCCAACACCGACTTAAACTTAATTCACAATTTGACCTTGATGACGGCGCATAGGTGTTGTTATTCTTCCTCCCATAACTTGTTTAGTACCTCTAGTATGTGTTTTATATTCGACCTCTCGTTTAGCACATATGTTACCCCTCCATCATGTTTCATTAGGCCTACCTGAATAATTAAGCTAAAAGTTCATGCTTTATGTTCTAAACCCACAAAAACTGTTTTTTTGTGTAGTAATAGAAATTAAAACAATCTCTATTACCTTATAACTACCGTTCCTATCGGTAAACAAAATTTCTACTAACATAAGAGTACAAAATGTAAGACTAGGATACATGCGAAAACAACGAAATGTAACCTAAGAAAAAAGGCAGAAACAGTAACAGAAAATAAATACGACAATTATCCAGGTCCATACCGGCCTTGCTAATGTTAATGAACTGGTTCAGATCGGGGTTGACCAATACCCCAAAAACAACATGATAAATACAATAATCAGTTCTCCGGGTTGTATTTAGAACGTACCTTGCGGTGGTGCAGTCCCTGTAGAGCACGTCGAAATCCTTGCAGGAGAGCAGCTTGCACCGGTTTACACCCGGCTGGATGGCGCCGAGCCCGCGCAGGATGCGAACCTGTTCCACATTGCACACGAGCGGCACTATGTCCAGTCTTTTTAGCTTTGTGTACACTGTGTGCAGTCCGCCGACCAGGTGTTTCAGAAACAGTTCGAAGGCTTGAGGCAAGCAGAGCATAGTGTCGCCTTGGATGATGAAGGCGGCGACTTTTTGACCGCGGTAGTCAACCAGCTTGCACTCGTTGGCCGAAGGGTCCGACGTGGAAATCGGAGGCGGGCTTCCGTAACGAGGCGGGCCGTGGTGGTGAGCCGCCGCCATCAGCTCGAGGGGTGAGTGATGCATCATCTGGAGGGAGCCTAGAAGGCCGAGTCCTGGCGGCGGTAGCGGCATTCTCGGCGCCAACATGTGCGGCGGGCTGAGGCCGCGGGCCGGAGACGCCGCTTTCACCCTGGGCGAGCCCCCGGAGGAACCGCTCACTTCGCTCGCGGTCGACGCTGAGTCCACGGCGGACTCCATACTCGCGACGTCTGACTACACACGCATCACACGCCCGTCGCGCGCGCTGTTCCGCGCAACAATAAATAAAAAGCCTGTGCCTGTGGAAGGCGCGGCCGCGCGCGCGCGCCCGCCCCAGCCTCGCGGCGCTATTGGCCGCGCGCCGCTGCAGCCTGAAGGCTATTGGTCTCCGTCTGAGGCGACGAGTCCCCGCCTCTTTTTTCGTTGCGTTGCGTTCGAAGCGCGCGAAGAAACGTTCCTGTTTCTTTTGGGTGTTGTGTGAAGCGGTCGCTCGCCGGGGTGTATTGATAAGAATGTCACCGGTAATCAATATGAGCCTAGACACCGCCGCGGACGCGCGCATTCACCACTCGCCACACACTAGTAGATTTATTTCATTTATTTGATGTACCTACCCACTTAGTACTATTTTACTTGACGACTTTCATTGTAACACGAATGTTAGCGTAAGTGGATATTTTTATTGGAACAAAATAACAATATTTTTAAATGAAGAAGCAATCTCTTTACTTTTTATAAGTACTTATGTGTTTATAGCCACATCTCAATATTGTAATTGTTTTTTTTTCAATAGGTAGGTAGACCCTTACTAAAGGTTTTCACATTGTTAGGAACGATTTAGATCAGTTTCAATTTTGAATTTAAAGGACTAGATAGCGACTTTGTTGTTTATTCTGATTAATTCATTACCCACAAAAATGAAAATATTGTATATATTGATCTGCGCTGAATAGGGAATAAGTTAAGTTAGAGAATATATTTTTGGCCTTACAATTTTCTATCGTTCCTTTACTTAGTTGATGTTGTTTGAAATAGACAGAGCAGAAAATGATTGTACCTATTTGTAGTTAGGTACACTTAGCTATTATTCTTTTGGATGACAATATATGGCAGGATGAAAAACTTATTTCTGTACATACGAACGAATGGAATCGTTCGCATGGAATTTGAAAAGCGCTGCCATGGTGGGTTCGATTTCCGGACCGGGCAAAACTTTATAGTGTTTTTCTGAGAGGAAAAATAACCTAACTTACTCCTTATATCACAAAGGATCACAAAAAGAGTAAAAGACAGACAGACAAAAAAAATCAAACTGGTTTTTAGGCATAGGTATCGTGCCAATAACCGTGTGAGCATAAAAAAAAACCTAAACAGACAATTAAATTTTATTTATTTGTATAGATGTATAGATAAGTAGATATGTATGTAGGTACCTAAGTCTCGCTAAGAATGGAACTAAGTTCAATAAAACTTTACCTATGGTACCTATTCCCTGTGTTAGTATCTCCTCAGATCCAGAGCGGTAGTACCTAACGAGAATGCCGAGTACCTATGACACTCTCAGTAAAAGTTAAACTGAGCCGTGAACGAACTTAATATAAGTACCTACCTACGCACCTAGCTATTACTACCTTAATTTCAACACAGAACGGCTTATTGATGTTGAGTTCGAGTTCTGTAATTAGAATCGAGTTTTTAAAGTAGGTATAAAAATCTATTTCTGAGTAATTTGTTGAAACTTATTTGAGTTGTTAGTTTTTACTTTCCTTACCGATTATTTTATGGTATTATTGAAAATTGCCTAAAATAAAGGAACAATGCATCCTAAATGCATGCTAAAGATTAGTATAACTCATCAATTTTATATTTATTTTAGGTTAGGGCGTTAGGTCCTATCATTACAGTACACCGTGTACCTACCTACAGTAGCTAGTTGTAGCTGCTTTGACATAATTTTAAAAAGTACCTATGTAAAAACAATAATATATTATTTATTGTAAAAATGCTGATACCGTACAACAATACTGAAGGTAGTCAGGTGCCTACCTACGAGTATGTGCATGTTAATGAATTGGTAAAAGTATTGAATTATTTATACACACAGACACATTTATTACTCAATAAATATATTTATAAATACATAGAGACATATTTTAGATAAATTACACAAAGAACGAAAGATCGTGCTCATCACACAATTATTTGTCCTGGGTGGGAATCGAACCCAAGACCACAAACCAACATGCCCGTCAGAACAAGTTATCAGTCTTTATAAATGTGTGTTTGGAAGGGTCTCCTATGCCTGTTAAATTTCTTGGGCAGTCCGCATTCATTAATTTCATAAAATTTTATAAATAATATTATACCTACCTAGGACACAGCGTTATCGAGATCCCAAAACAAGCAGTGTGCTTATTGTACTATGAGTTCTAGAACATGATTTATCATACAAAGATACAATGTTTTTGGAAATGCCTAAATATAGGTATATCCTTCATAGAAATATCCAGACTAATATTAGGTAAGCCCGCAGGAATCGAGCAAACCAAACTCGACGTGGTAGTTGCACTACCCGTTGCCACATAGATTGTCATCTAATCTAATACCTTTAAACGAGCATTTCTTGTATATACCTACATATGTTTATATAATCTGAATCTCGAAAACGACTCTATCGGTTTCGGGGGCGGATTAATCGATCTAGCTGAGTTTCATTTTTATAAAAATCGGTCATCCAGGTACTAATATTAGCAGGAGGTACGTAGATGTTTTCTGATTGTTTATTCAACATTACGCACACATAAGTAGGTACTTATTTCCACATATTACAAGCCTGATTACAATACAAAGGGTTGAAGTGTCTAAAACAATAGGGATCTCGACGTTCGACAACTTGGTCGAACTCCCGAAACACTTGAATAGTCTCCGTCTTCAACGCCACTCTATCATATTCGTCTCATGAAATTTGAAACAAGAAAAATTAACTCTTATCGTAACATCATACAGTCCTTTATTATATTGGCAATGTAATAGCTACTGTGGTTTTTATAAGTTCTTTGTTCGGGATGTTTTTCAATGATTATTCTTTGTAATATTGGTATCGAATCCAACATACGTAGATGCTATAGTTACATATACTATGTTATATTGAAATGGTACTCATGTTGTTTGAACACAATACGTGTTTTCTTTTGATTAGAAGGAGGTATTGTTTTGTGTAAGTATAAACTATAATTGCACACAAAATGTATTTTAAGAATAGGGGGCTAATATTAAGAGTTTTTTGATGTAAAGAACGTATAATTGGTCTTCTAGAGAGTATTAAAAACGTAGTAAAAATACGGAGAGTTAATTCATTGACAAAATAAATGTTTCTACAAAAAATATGCGTAAATGTTTTCAAGATTTTCTCTTCCAACGCGTATGATGAAAAAGTTCAGGTGTATTCTCGTTCGAAAGTTCGTTTCGATAATAATATGGTCTGTATGAAGACTGATTAAGAATACGGAGTGTCACCACCCCTATTCATCTCATGGCTGTCGTAAGAGCCGACTAAGGGAGCAAACTACGCAGGACAACAGCACTGCAAAGAGAAGGAAACCTTGGAACAAATCCTATACCAACCCGTCTGACCAGCGTGGTATAGTAGGCCAAAACCTCCTTTCTAAGGAGAGGCCTATGTAGAGCAGTGGACTATTAGAGGATGATGATAATGATAGTAATATTGCTAATAGTAGATAGATAGCACATCGAAGGGGTAAAAGGGATGTATTAATCTTCTACGTTTTGCTAATTTTAATCTCACATACGTAATACGGACATGTTTAGTGTATGTGTGTTATTAATCTTGCTGTGCTCTAACATGGCTTAATGTTAAGCCTTAACTTCAAATCTTTTACATTTAAACACAGGCATTCTTGCACACGCGTGCACTTACCCACGCACACACACACACACACACATACACACGCACGCACACCCACACACACCCACACACACGCACGCACGCAACACACCCATGCATGTTGATTAAATTTTATTTTATGTATATTTTTTTTACCTTTTAATGGATCTCACAATCTCTCTTAAAAAAAGTACATATAATCCTAATTGCATTACCATATAGGCAGGGAAGACGCTAAAAGCCTTCACACAGTTTATACTACGTACGGCTGACAACGTTTACCATATCCACTTATTCATCTTAAACTTAAAGTTATGTTTTATCAATACTTCGGTGATATGTAAGTTATAGGATGTTTCTTGGCTAATAAATTATAAAATAAAAAGTAAAACTTATTGTATATCTACACATGAATGTGATAAAGGTTTTGGCTTTTGACAATTGCCGTTAAGCAGGCACTCAAGGAATCAGATAGGAGAATTGGAAGAGGAATGAAGGAAAAGGATATTGCTAAAGCGGATGAGTCGGGGAATGTAAACGATAGGGCGAGGAGGTCAAGGTCACGTACTAGTAACTTGGATTGACTGTTGGCGTTGCCGGTAATTAAGAGTGCTCTGACTAAGAATTGTGACTTAAGATGCCTTTATACTTGACTGCACTGATGGCGTAGTAGTCAAAGTGACGTCTCACCGCTTCCTACTGCGCTAGATGTTGTGGGTTCGATCCCCACATGGGACAACACTTTGTGTGATGCACAAATTGTTGCTCTAACTCTGGGTATTATTTGTGTGTTTCATGTACGTATGTTTGTAAAGTCCCCCTCGAAACAGGATATAGGTACAGGGAGATAGATACAGGGAGTTGTCTTTTTAAAAAGAATAAAAGGAAGATAATGCCCTTGGCGTTAAGTCCGCCGTTGTACAAAAGTGCACAAAGTTGTGTAAATAAAATAAAATGGTGGGAGGGACTCAAAGAGTGACAACGCACTTGTGACTCTTGACTTGCAGGTGTCCATAGTCAGCGATAGTCACTTCATCAACAGCCTTTATTAGTTTAATTTCCAATACTCATTTATATAGGTACATCACAGCAACAAAATTTAATAGTCCACTACTGGACACAGGCCTCGCTTTAAATAGGAGGTTTTGGCCTACTGTACCACTCTGGCCAGACGGATTGATATACCTAGGGTTTGTTTTAAGTTATCCTTCTCTTTGCAGTGCTGTTGTCCTGCGTAGTTTACTCCCTGTTCACTTCGCTTTAGGTTTATCGTCTACTCCTTAGCCACGGCAAGAAAACACAGTATTGCCATCTTATGCTTGTTAGTAGAAGACCGTGGTAGAAGTAAATAAAGAATCGTTTTTAAACTTTCAGGCCAACTCCCTGGCACTTCGAAGCGTTACAATTGGAAGTAATTCTAAACAACAACTCGAAAAGGTAATTCTGTTAACGGGTTACAAAAAACCTGACGATAAAACTTTAATTCACTAAAGCAAAAACTGATGAGTGTGAGTCGAGCAAATTGCATTACTATTCATTGCAATAATTTATTTTATGGCATCCAATCAAGTTATGCAAAAACCGATATTATTGGTACTTAGTGGATACTTATTGTCTTAGGCTATTGTTAAAGAAGTAAAACAGCAATAATTACGTAG